TTGTGAGGTATAATTGGTTCTTGAAGAGTAGAGTTCTCAGTATTATAATGCTTATATTTTCTAGTCTTGTTGTTAAAGGGTATGATTTTTATAGTTCAGTTGCTACATTATATAATTTTCGGAGGGATAGTTGACATAGGGATGATATTAAGGTGTCTTAGCTAGTCTAGAAAGGCCTCTTTATACCCTAATGAGCTGAAAACACTTGTGTGAAGGTAAGTTAGTGCTTATATCCATTTCAGAATTTAAAATTATGTATAATTCTGATATGAACTGCCATGGACTTGTATTATTGATGTGACTTTCAATTCACCATAGAACCTTGTGTTTGGTTGGATAGGTGGTGATGTAAAGTATATTAAGAGTAGTGGTTTAAAGCTGGTACGTGCGTGAGTGATGAATGGGTGTTTAAAAGGAACTGAATAATTTTATTTATTTCAGAACACTGGCAAGTACTGGTTTGGGTGGTCAGCTTTCTGGAGATATTGGATCACTGTCTGAATTGGAGATTTTGTAAGTATTTTATTCAGTATATTCTTTTGCTATATCTACCAAAGGCAATGATCAAGTCATAAATTAAGAACATGTTAAAATTGAAAATAATGAGGAACAGAGGAAGTTGCGATGAATAATTTGCTTTAAAATGAATAATTTAGCTTAATGGTCATGCATTGCATAGAATACGATTCTGCAATAATTATCCCAGTGATGCAGATAAGTACAAGTTTCATTAAAAGATTCATATCCATTAATGGTCATGCAGATAATTTTTGTAGAATGCTAGTCCTTTTAAAGAATAAAGTTTAGTTTTGAAATAGAAAGTAGACATTTCAGCTTTGATTTTAAATGCATTGTGTATTTCAACTTAGTTTAGTTTTGAAACATTGTTTTAAGCTGTCAACTAATAAAAAAAATCATCCTTGGTTTGACTTCTGAGATGGTCATTATTATAATCACAGTTTGTAATTGATTATTATAACAAGACCGAAATTCACATTGTTACTACATGTATATATTATTGTTCATTGGGAAAGATATCATATAAGTTTATGATTACACAAGCTTGTAAATCATGTTTGAGATCTTATTTGCATTTTCTTACAGATAACAGAATCGGGCACATTCCTGTGATTGATGAGAAGGGGATGGTTGGAATGGTGTCCATTGGTGATGTGGTTCATGTTGGGGTGCGCGAGCACCGTCAAGAGTTTGAGCATTTGAATGCTTTCATACAAGGGGTTATTAGATGATGATGATGGTGAAAATCTCTGAAGAGCACTGAAGCTAATTTGGATTAAGTAATAAGCCTGAGTGTTTGTAAATATGTTTGTGATTTCAGTTCTATAGCAGCATGTTAATAATAACAACCGGATGCATTTTGAATCTGTTTTCAACTCTCGAAAACATATTTCACTGTTCATTGAGTGCAAGTTCAAATCTGCACTCTGCTGATGGTAACTTTTCTTTTTGCCTTATCATGGATGCCACAGTTTAATACGTTACTTTTATACGTAATATTTTCAAAAAAGTGCTTGAAAATAATTAAGAAAATAAAAAAGAACTCCATTTAAATCTGCATCGTTCCTGATATTGGGTGTCAATTATAATAATTTAAAAAAAAAATATTATGACGTACTAAACAATGTACGTTATAATATGTTGATTCCGAAAACTGCAGATTTATTATAACCTCCAGAATTATGTTTTTAGTAATTACGATACATGACATATAAACAAAATGTTTCAATACATTTAATAATGTAAAGAAATGGAGACTAAAAGTAGATTATATATTTTTTTAATTTTCTCAAATAAATTTTAAAGATAAATCCATGACAAAATTTACCTAAAAATATCATGTCAACGAACTTAAAATCACTGTTCACGAAATTGATTGTATAAACACAATGTTTGTAGTGAATGTGGGTGTGAGAAGATATGCATTTGAAAAGAATGGATGGGTAGTGAATCCAAAAAATGTGGGTCCAAAAGAAATTATATATGAAATGCAGGAGATGAGATGAGACAATAATTCCAAATTGCCAGCAACCACTTGTTTTATTTTTTCTTCTCCTCTGGTGTATAGAACACAGCATCTTCATTTTCTATTATTTTCCTTTTGTTGAAAATGATTGTAGCTTGATTTGTCAGGTATTGCATTGTTAGAGGAGTGTTGTTTTCGCACAGTATTATTTTATACTCTTTTTCACGTAATTATCGCTGAAAATGTAACTAATTATTGAAAGTTGAAAAGAATGGGTAGTGATGAGAATGACTTGTGAAAGAGACCAGTTATTAAGGAATAAATATATGGATAAGTTATGAGTCAGTGAGTGGCCAACTAATTTACACACCCGACTCTTCAATTATCCTTTTCGTAACTAATACGGATATTCGTATTAATTAATTCTCCTTAATTAATATTAATTTCGTGGTTTTATGGAACTGAAACAACGTCTCAACCAAATTCAGAATCATTTCGCCACATTTCTCTGTCTTTCACGACAATTTCGATTTTCTAATGTATAAAAAAATATATCAAAATTTTATGATATTATGTATCACACTATCTTTGTCTTTTTTATTCATTGGCTATCTCTGTCTTGTTCTTTAATTTTATCTTTTTTTATATATTTTTTGTATCACACTATCTTTAGTTCATTGAACTGTCTTTTTTAAAATATTACAATCAAACGATAATTATTTAATTAGCACCGGGGTTCTAAAGAGTTTCTGCTGTTGTTAAAAATAAGGTATTCCTGTTTAGGAGAGGTAGATATTGAAATGAAGTTTATTTTCATAAAAAAGTTTTACGATTTTTCTGGAGAATCAAGCACGAGGAGAATAGGTTATTATTTCTCCAAATTTTTGTAACTTTTTGAAGCAGTTGTGTGAAGAACATAAGAATTTAGACAACAAAATCTATTATTAGTTTGATTCTTATTTTGTTGGAATGTAATTATTATTAGAATTGTATTTGGTGTGAAGTAATGTATTTTAAGCTTACATTGGTTTTTAACTTTGTATTTGGTTACGAGAGTCAAAGTTGTAGTATAATTGGTACATATTAGGCAAATTATGTATTATGTAAGTACAGAATGAGATTTCAAACTTGTTCGAGTGGTTAAAATAGAAAAAAATAGATTTGAACAAATATTTTCATCTTTGGCACATTTTTCTCTTTCTGCGTATCTTATTTAAGGATCAATATATGTACTTGAACAATATTGAGAATCCGTGCATACTATTTTTACTTGAGTATTTGGTTGAAAACTCAAGCTTAAACATTTTTTTATTCAAGTTGTAGTTTACAAGTTGGTTGAAAACTCAAGCTTAAACATTTTTTTATTCAAGTTGTAGTTTACAAGTTAAGCTAGAAAGGTTATACTCATTCTTTTTCCATTAAGACCTACATCGACCAAGGGATTAAACTCCAATGTTCTAGTGTTATTATGCTAACCAATGAGTCTTATAACTATGATAGCTTAATGAGAAAGGACTAAGAAAAATTATGTTTTTGTTTGAAAATATCAATTAAGTGAGATTATCTCATTTAAATGGTATTTTCTTACTTTCTAAAACATATTTAAACTTAGTTAAAAGATATTCATATGTTTAATAATAATTGTTTGTATTATATCATATAACTTTTGTTTTGATTCAAGTTCGTTAAAATATTATTAGGATCAATCATTGCATCCAAGGTATTGTCTGCTTTATTGAAGCTCAGTTACGGTTTTGTCTTTAAAAGTTGTCTTAGAGGACGAAATGAGGAAGGGATATTTAAAATTGCGTTTGACCTCGACTCCTAAGTGATGTCAGACTATTGGTGTACCGAGACAAGCTCCCATTTGAGGGTAAAGAGAGTTTTCGTTCCTACAGACGACGTCAATGTTTTGATCCCAAGTTCGTCAAGGCATCATTAGGGTCAATCACTACATCTGAAGTATTATCTGCTTTGAAGACTTCGTCACAATTTTATCCTTTAAAGGTGCCTCAAATGGTGAAATAAGAAATGAGTATTTAAATTACGATTGACCTCGACTTTTAAACAATGTAAGAATGAATGTACCAGAACATATTTTGATTTTTTTTTTCAAAAAAGGTTGAGTTACTTATGCATTTATATTTATTTGAAATTTTAATAACTTACCCTTCTTAAGTGATTTTTGCTATAATTGTATGTAATTTATTACTAAATAACATTGCATTTATAGTTAAACTTAAACACTTTTATCACCTATATTTATACTGTTACATTTTTATGTAGTTTATTTTTCTAAAATGTTTTGATTTTATAATTTTGTTATTGGATATTTGGAATTGAATTTTATATGCATATGTAAACATATAATTGAAACAATGTGAAGTGTTGGAATATTAATAATGTAAATAAAACATTATAAAGAGAAATATTAATTATGTCTATTATTACAATATTTATTATTATTTGACGTATTTGACTGACTTGATCATAGAAATATCTTCTGGCGGTACAATTTTTTATCACTTTTCGACATGTTAAAAATTAAAGATTAGAATACAAAAAGTAATTGTTAGTAAATATCTTTCCCTAATATAACTGATTTCAAACATAAACAATAATCACAATCATAGTAGTTGATAGAAAAAAGTAACAAAAAATTAAGAAATTAAAAGTCTAAAAAAAAAAGTAAAATGTCTTGACTTTTTGGTTTATATAATATAGGGTTAAATATGTTTTTAGTCCCTAAACTATTGGCCGTTTCTGGTTTTCGTCCCTCTTCCAAAGTAAGGTACAATTTGGTCCTCATTCTTTAGAAAAACGTTCGTTTTAGTCCTCAAAATTTTGTTTTTAGTCCTCGTTTTAGTCCTCAAAACGTTCGTTTTTTCGATTAAAACGAACGTTTTTTAAAGATTGAGGACTAAATTGTACCTTACTTTGGAAGAGGGACGAAAACCAGAAACGGTCAATAGTTTAGAGACTAAAAACATATTTAACCCTATAATCTAATATAACGGACAAAAAACATGGGCATAACATTTTACCATATATTTCTAGCCGTTTAATTTTGAAAAACAAATAAAGAAAAAGGTATAAAATTTCATTTCTAACAATGTTTTCGTTGCATTATTCTCATATTAAAATTATAATTTTCCTAATAGTTCAAACAATAAAAAATACGCATTAAAAGTCGAGAGTAGGTAAAAATAAAATTCAAAGAACAATCCTCAAAAACACTGAAGATTTAATTTTTGTTTTATTACAAATAATTTCCACCAAGTACTTCTATCTCTTCAATATTAAAGAAAATGGGAGGATAATAACTTTTCTCTTTTTATTTGCCCTCCACACCTCTCAAATTTTCAAACTCAGGTGAAAAATTGTTGTGAAACTTTCTCATGCTTTTGTCTCTTTCAATTAAACAGAATATTAAGTTCTTGCTTTTATTATTTTAAAAAGAAAAAGAGAAAAACTTATGAACACTTCATCAATATTTGAGGTCATAGTCAACAAAGGTTTTTGCTGGTGATTTTTTGGTTGCTGTCTAAGTCAGCGCTTTAAAACAGAATAGTAATCTTATAGAATAAAAATTACTTGAAGAGAATGCTTGTTTTAAAAACGTGCTTGCAAACTAATTAAAAAATTGTAATAAACTCAAAAGATTTTTTATAACGATTTTTTTTTCTTATCGTGTACGTGTTATATTTTAAGCAATATAAACAATTAACAAAATATATTGAACATTTGAATAAGTTTATTTTGCTTGTTTGAAGGATTGCAAAAATTATTTGTATAAACGCATCTTGTTAAGAAAAAGGGATAAATTGGTTATACATCTAGATCTTTATAAAAAATTTGATGTGGCTTGAAAACATTTTAAGACAATTTCACTTGTAAAAAAGATTCATGAATTTGTTTCTTCTTGAAGCGTAGAGTGGTTAGACTTCAGAATTCATCTCCTGACATGATTTATATTTTTTCTTTGACGAAAGATTTTGTTCCAGTTTCCGTGACTCTCACAAAAATTCAATATTGGGTTATATTCATGACCTTCCTTTATCATCTATTTGAATGAATGATTTTAACAATTTCAAGAAATTTAAATATATAATATTTAAATTACTTAAAGTAAATAATTAATATAATTATTTCCAAAAGTAAATAATTGTAAAAATAAAATGTATATAAAACCATTAAGGATAACTTTTATAAAACTCCTATAAAAAATAATTACTATAAACCGAAGAAACCTACTCCACATCATCACTACCTTCCATTAGAGGCGCATCAAAACTATCCCTCATATGCTCACACTGACAAGGTGATCAATTATAAAGGAAAGAAACACACTGACAAAACAACACAAAAGATATGATAAGCTAATGTGCAAAAAAAGTTTTCAAAAAATATTTAAATTACATAAATTATAAACTAAGCATGTATAAAAATATAATAAATTACATATACATCTAGACAAATAGTTAACACGA